AAACATAAACACAGCCTGCCTGTCACATTGCCTCTGTGGACACTGAAGACCTTTTGTAGGTTTGTGTATCTGAGGAATCAGACAGTAAAAAGTGCTCCAGTGACCTTGCAGGAACCGTGATTCTAATAAAAACTGAAAATTCATCAGCGTGATTCCCCGCTGGATCTCTGTCAGTGGCAACACTTACAAAAAGCCTATTGATGAATATTAGTGTTGCTATAGCTACAGTGTAGAAATTATTTTTAAAAGGGGACTTGATATGACAGGAATAAGAAACGAGGCCTCTATGATGTCTAATTGCAGCTGGTGTCACAGACAATGTATTTTGTTTGTAAGATTTTTATTTTACATCCTTGAATGATTATTATTAAGCATAGGAACCCTGCTCTGATCACATTCTGACCGGTAAATTCATTATATTATAGTTGAAAAAAAACAACTGTGCTTTATTAGAACCATCACACACATAAAAAGCTGCAGGAAAAGCTTAATGCCAAACTAATTCTGTAAACTCTTCCAATCTCAACAGTTCATCATGTTGGTGTATATTTCTCTGCTGAAGCCCGGCAGAGTAACGTTATCCAGTCTATTGAGAGCCAAACTGTGATAGGCAGGATGATAAACAGGGCCTCCATTCAGAGATCCTTCAGCTGTGAGTGAGCGCCATCTAATGGTCATATTTGTTAGTGTATATATATATATATATATATAATGATCAGATATTTAGTCAATTTTAAAAAACTTAATTATCCAAAGAAGTCTGCTTTAATAAGACATGAAAAACAATTCTTGTCTGTCATGTATGATTTATTTAACGGCCCATAGAGCCCACCGCAGTCACAGGTGAATTACAGGTCAGGAGTTCCATTTCTGTGTCAGCTCATGACACCTGAGCATCATCCACTGACTCAGTCCCGATGTAATCGCCCCTTCTATCACAGGTCCAACTCAAACCCAAACTTCCCCCAGGCAACATGATGTGTCAGCTCTTTACTGACATCCAGCAGGACTAAAATAGTGCTGGGATCATTCGTGGGTTCTGGGATTATAGTATTGTCAGCTGCACTGTCAGCATGTTTCAGGCTGGCTGCAGCAACCAAAATTTGTTACAAAAAGTTCCTTATCGCAACATGTAAAGAGCAACAATATGAGGAAGGCAGGAAAGAATGAGTGAATAAGATAACAATTCACGACAGCTTGCTGTTGTATGACATCTTATCATCAGTGCTTCAGATTCTCGTAATAAAATATATCATCATTACAGGAGGATTCCTATATTAAACATAGCCCAAAGTAGCTCAGCACAAAAATATACAGCACAAAAGTGGCTCTATTGCAAAATCATTATTATAAAATTCAGATGCCATGTTCCACATAGCAGTTCTGTTTGGCAGGAATAATTCCACAATATTGAATATTCAGTGTAATTCAAGGTGTGAGTTAAACACTGTATGCTGCCATCCTCTAGCATACAGACCAGACTGTGTGGGTGAGCACAAACAGGGCTACACCAAGGCATTGTTGCATAAAATGTCCAAATTAAAACAAGGCATTAAGTAGGACATTAAGACATCCTGAGTAAGGAAAACCCTCAGTAGTAAAATCATGATTCAAGACATCAACAGCGCCTTTTTCAGCAGAAAGGCAAACATAGAAACTACTGACAAAAAACAACTTTTTGCAAGTTTTGTTTTGCTTGAGCTGTAGGTCTGTTAAGAGTCCAAGACGTCCAGTCCAGACGTAGTGCTCCTCAGTACACCAGGTACTTGAATTCAGAGTAGATAAGTGGAAACATGACCGTGCAGGCTCGGTACAGGATGGCTCCGCTCTTGAATAAAGCTCGAGGTTTGGTGCTCCATGACTCGGATTTGAAGTTGAAGTAGATTGCATACAGTGCCACAGCAAAGAAGTGTCCAATGAGGGTCATGGGTTTGGGTGTCAACCTGGTAGAAATCGAGATGTCATAAATTAGACAAAATGTAAAGTCTCTTGTTTTTAATATCATATTAAAGGAATCGTTTGACATTTTTGGAAATATGCCTATTTGCTTTTTTTTTTGCAGAGTGAGATTAGGAGATCGAAACCACTGTCACATCTGTACGGTAAATATGAAGTCACAGCCTGTAGTTGGCTAGCTTAGCTTAGCACAAAGTCTTGAAAATGGGGGGCAAAAGGTAGCATTTGCTGCTCCCATCTAAGAAAACAATCCAGCACATAACCTCCCATAAACAACAGTTTTTATTTTACTTTATTTTTAGTAACAGACGTGCATTTAACATGTTAACTAGTGAGTTTTAGCTTTATGCTAGCTTTATCTTAGCATTAAGACTGGAAGCAGTGGGAAACAGCTAGCCTGTCTCTGTCCGAAGGTATCAAAATCCGCCTACCAGCACCTCTAAAGCTCACGAACTGACACATTATATGTTAACTGAAATGTAAAAACTAGGTACAGAGGGTTACGTGCCGGGCTATTTCTTAGCTAGTAGCAGTAACTTCTTCATCAATGGGAGGTTGCCAGCAGAAGAGACGTAATGTGTGAACTTCAGAGGTGCTGGTAGGCGAATTTTGAATTGAACCAAGCTAGCTTTTTCCCCGTTCCAGTCTTTATGCTATGCTAAGCTAGCCAGCTGTAGTTTTGTATTTAGACTACAGCGTGTAGAGTGGTATCAATCCTCTCATCTAACTCTGAGCAGGAAAGAAGATGAGCGTATTTCGCAAAATGTCAAACTATTCCATTAAGTCAAGCCTGCTTTCCATTATGCAATTTCATACAGAAATTTAAACCGTGTTATTGTGGAGGACATTATTTAATGCTTACACTGAGAGGAGTCCAATAGGCCCAGCAATGCACTCTCCACCAAGCTTGAAGTACTGGAAGCAGGCTTTTCTCAGCTCATGAAGATTATCTGGTTAACACAAAACAGGCACATGGACATGATGAGAACTAAAATGACTATTAATTGTTTGAAATGACTGCAGTTTTGTACTTATTCAATGCAAAACAGTAATCATGTCTGATCCCCTGTCATTGTTTTCCATGTGTTATTAGATGCAGAGGCAGGCAGAGACTCACTGTCGGTGGCTGCAAACAGCTCATACAGGGCCTGGGCCAACACATTCACCACGAAAGAATGTGATGACTTGCGTTCCCAGTGGAATTTTTTCTTTGCCTATTGAGAAGAAAAAAAAAAGCAGAGTGTAATATTGCACACTGGTCTGCAGTCTCTCACCTACAGCACAGGGAATAATAGGACAAGGCAAATGTGATGCAGTACAGGCTCCAAATATAGCTTCTATAATCAATAAACCTTCCTGCAGCCCTTATTTTTTCCAGATTTTATACATTTTTAATACAAGTTTTAAAGAGTTTGTTTGTCAGTCCTCGTGAGAGTAATGTCTGGCATTAAAATGGTTAAGTCTAGTTCCTGTGTTCACCTGCAGCATGGCCCTGTCGTCGTACAGATCCGGGATGTTCTGGAGCAGACTCCTCCAGATGCGAACGTCGTTGAGAGCAACACTCATCCCTCCTCCCGTCAGAGGATGCCTCATGTTGTAAGCGTCGCCCAGGAGAAGCACGCCTGCAAACGACAGACTGCTGTTTGTCTCGCATCCAAAACACATGACCAGTTTGGTTTTCCTCAGCAATTTGTAATCTTCCAATTAGTGCCAAATGCAGTGAACGTGTGGGAGATGACTTTTAGTGTTTCTCTAGGCTTTTATTTCAGATGTTTTGACAGTTAAAATCATATGGGCGAGTTTCGCTCATTAGAACCACAAATCTCACTAGTGTTACGGCTCCAATCCAACACCAACACACGCACACATACAGACAGACGGTCTAATTTAAAGGTACTGTTTGACATTTTGGGTAATATGCTTATTCAATTTCTTGTGTAGAGTCGAACGCGCAGCAGCTGCTTAGCTTAGCTTAGCACA